CCTGCACCTTGTTGTCTCGGATTCTCCAGCATCTGCAGTTCCTACTATCTCTAATCATGATCTACTTATTGATTAGCAGAGCAGGCCAGAGGGGCCAAATGGCCTCCTCTTTGTCCTTGTTCTTTCTTGTTTCTTCACTCAAAGCACATAGGCATCACATGCTGGGCAGCATTTATTGTCTGTTCCCAAGTGCCCTTGAGAAGGTGGTGGTGAGTTGTCTTTTTGACAGTGACAATCTATTTGGTGTTGGTGGACTCAATGTCATTAGGGGTGGGAATTCCAGAATTATGACCAGTTATACTGAAAGAAGAGTGATATATTTCCAGGTCAAGATGGTGAGTGGCTTGGAGGGTGGTGCTCCTAAGAATAGTTATAGTGGTCTACAGCAAAGAAAAAGGCCCTTCAGCCCATCAAGTCTGCGCCAGTCAAAAACAACCACCCAACTATTTTAATCCTATTTTTCACCACTCAGTCCATAGCCTTGTATTCCTTGGCATCACAAGTGTACATGCAATAACTCTTAAATGTTATGAGGTTTCTGCCACTGCCACCCTACATCCCCTCTAAACCTCCTGCTCGTTACATTAAGTCTCTGCACCCTAACCACCAATCCCTCTACCAAAGGGAAATAAAGTTCCCTCCTGCCTCTCATCCTCAATTTTATGCATCTCAATCATGTTGCCCTCTCAGTCTCCTCTTCTCCAAGGAAAACAACCCCAGTCTATCCAATCTTTCTTCACAGCTAAAACATTCTGCTAAAATTTCCCAAGTACCCACTCCAGTGCAAACACATTCCTCCTATAATGTGATTTCCACACAATATTCTAGCTGTGGTATCACCATTATTTCATACAGTTCACTTCTGCTTTTGGCCTTCTAGATGTCAGTGATCATAGATTTAGATGTAATGTGTAAGGATTATTGGCAAATTCAGCAATGCATTTTACAGATGGCACATAATGCTGCGACTCAATGTCGGGAGTAGAGGGAGTGAATGTTTGTGGATGTAGTGACGATCAAGTGGGCTGCTTTGTCTTGGATAGTGTCAGGTTCCTTCGGTGTTTTTGAAGGATTCACCCAGACAAGTAGACAGTCTTCCATTACATTTATGGGCTGAGCCTTGTCTATGACAACAACTTTGGGGAGCCAGAAAAGGAGCTGTTTACTGAACGATTATTAGTCTCTGACCTGCTCTTGGAGCCACTGTGTTTCTAAGGCTTGTCCTGTTCAGTTTCTGGTCTGTGGTTAACAGCCAGGACATCCCACTCAGGCAAGTGGAGAATATTCCACCACATTCCTGAGCTATGCTTTGCAGACAGATACTGGGGAAATAGGAAGTGAGTTACTTGTTGCAGAATTTCTAGTCACTGACCTGGTCTTGTAGCCACAGTATTTATAAAGACTGGTCTAGTTCAGTTTCTAGTCAATAGTAACCCTCAGGACTTGGACAGTGTAGAATTTAGCAAAAGGTAATGCTCTTGAATATCAAGTGGCATTAGTTATTTTCTCTTGTTGGACTCTCTGTCCAGTCATTGACTGGCACTTATATGGTTCAAATTTAACTTGTCACTTGTCAGGTCCTCACATTAATACCGTGTGTGGAAATGCACAAATTTGCAGTTCATTTCATTAATTTCTGGCAGAATCCAAATTTTCTATAGACATTCTGAAATAAATTGAATCTGAAGGAATAGAGAAACATTTTTTCAGTCTTAGGATTGATGTCTTACAGGATGTATTTAGATGTTAAAACGCCTCGTTAACTGGTGAGCAGAATGGAATGCTGTGAACTTACAATAAACAATTAATTGTATTAAACAGTTTGGCGATTATCCTTTTTCTCCCCCCCAAACACTCGCCCAGTTTAAATTTAAAATTCAAACAAACTGGGGTGTCAATGACCAGTGGGTGTTTTGAATGTAGGAATATATTCTCCAATGGGTAAGTCAAGCCACTGCCAATATGGAACTCTTCAGTTCAGATAGATACAGGGCAAAGATCTTTCCACTATGTCGGAAACGTTACAAATTGGACTGAGATAGTAGGAACTGCCGATGCTGGAGAATCTGAGATAACAAAGTGTAGAGCTGGATGAACACAGCAGGCCAAGCAGCATCAGAGGAGCAGGAAAGCTGACGTTTCAGGTCGAGACCCTTCTTCAGAAATGGGGGAGGGGAAGGGGATTCTGAAATAAATAGGGAGAGAGGGGAGGTGGAGAGAAGACAGACAGGTCAAAGAGGCGAGGTTGGAGCCAGTAAAGGTGAATGTAGGTGGGGAGTTAGGAAGGGGATAGGTCAGTCCAGGGAGGACGGACAGGTCAAGGAGGCGGGGTGAGGCTAATGGGTAGGAGATGGGGGTGGGGCTTGAGGTGGGAGGAATGGTTAGGGAGGCGGAGACGAGCTGGGCTGGTTTTGGGATGCGGTCGGGGGGAGGGGAGATTTTGAAGCTTGTGAAGTCCACATTGATACTCTTGGGCTGCAGGGTTCCCAAGCGAAATATGAGATGCTGTTCCTGCAGCCTTCGGGTGGCATCATTGTGGCAATGCAGGAGGCCCAGGATGGACATGGCGTCCAAGGAGTGGGAGGGGGAGTTGAAATGGTTTACGACTGGGAGGTACAGTTATTTGTTGCGAACCGAGCATAGGTGTTCCACAAAGTGGTCCCCAAGCCTCCGCTTGGTTTCCCTAGAGGAGGCCACAACGGGAACTGTGGATACAGTATACCACATTAACAGATGTGCAGGTGAACATCTGCTTGATGTGGAAGGTCTTCTTAGGGCCTGGGATGGGGGTGAAGGGGGAGGTGGGGAGTATGGAGCACACAGAGAGTCACGGAGAGAGTGGTCCCTCTGGAAAGCAGATAAGGGTGGGGAGGGAAAAACGTCTTTGATAGTGGGGTCAGATTGCAGATGGCGGAAGTGTCGGAGGATGATGCGTTGGATCCAGAGGTTGGTGAGGTGGTACGGGAGGGCAAGGGGGATTCTGTTTTGGTTGTTTTTTGTGGGTAGGGGGTGAGAGGGATGAGTTGCAGGAAATGCGAGAGACACGGTCGAGGGCGTTTTCTACCACTGAGGAGGGGAAATTGTGGTCCTTGAAAAACGAGGACATCTGAGATGTCCAGGAGTGGAATGCCTCATCTTGGGAGCAGATGTGGCAGAGGCGAAGGAATTGGGAATAGAGGATGGCATTTTTGCAGGAAGGTGGGTGAGAGGAGGTGTACTCTAGGTAGCTGTGGGAGTTGGTAGGCTTGAATACCTGGAATACACCTCCTCTCACCCACCTTCCTGCAAAAAATGCCATCCCCTATTCCCAATTCCTTCGCCTCCGCCACATCTGCAATCCGACCCCACCACCAAAGACATTTTTCCCTCCCGACCCTTATCTGCTTTCCAGAGGGACCACTCTCTCCAGGACTCCCTTGTCTGCTCCATACTCCCCACTGGCCCCACAACCCCCGGCACTTTTCCCTGCAACTGCAGCAAGTGCTACACCTGCCCCTACACCTCCCCCTTCACCCCCATCCCAGTCCCTAAGAAGACCTTCCACATCAAACAAATATTCACCCGCACATCTGCTAATGTGGTATACTGTATCCACTGTCCCCGTTGTGAATTCCTCTACATCAGGGAAACCAAGCGGAGGCTTGGGGACCGCTTTGTGGAACACCTACACTCAGATCGCAACAAACAACTGCACCTCCCAGTCGCAAACCATTTCAACTCCCCACCCCCCACCCCGCCCCACCTCAACTCCTTGGACGACATGTCCATCCTGGGCCTCCTGCATTGCCACAATGATGCCACCTGAAGGCTGCAAGAACAGCATCTCATATTTCGCTTCGGAACCCTGCAGCCCAAGGGTATCAATGTGGACTTCACAAGCTTCAAGATCTCCCCTCGTCCGACCGCATCCCAAAACCAGCCCAGCTCGTCCCCGCCTCCCTAACCATTCCTCCCACCTCAGGCCCCACCCCCATCTCCTACCCACAGGCCTCACCGCCTCCTCGACCTGTCCGTCCTCCCTGGACCGACCTATCTCCTCCCTAACTCCCCACCTACATTCACCTTTACTGGCTCCAACCTTGCCTCTTTGTCCTGTCTGTCTCCTCTCCACCTATCTTCTCCGTTATCTATCTTCTATCCACCTGCCCCTCTCTCCCTGTTTATTTCAGAATCCCCTTCCCCTCCCCCATTTCTGAAGAAGGGTCTCGACCCGAAACGTCAGCTTTCCTGCTCCTCTGATGCTGCTTGGCCTGCTGTGTTCATTCAGCTCCACACCTTGTTATCACAAATTGGACTGAGTCTTTCCAAACTTAATGAAGCCAGCCAGAAGGATTGGGATTTTTTTTCCATCAGATGGATCTAGCCATCATTCAAATCTAGATTCCAGGAAGCTCATAACAGTTAGCTAAACTGCACCTTGCGCACCCAAAAGCAGCCATTACATTTTCGCATTCATCTTAATAATTGCAATTTCTGTGAGCATATTAGTGAATGTAGAACACATACATAATCAAACAGGATTGTTGGATTACTGTGACTCAGCTTCCCAATTTGTCTTCCAGAAGGCTTCACATTTTCCTTAGTCAATCGCCTGAAACAATAAACAACAAAAACATGAAATAGGGGATTTAATATTTGTTTGCATTTAAAGCTTGTGAATTGTAAAGCTTGTTAAAAGTCATCAACTAAACATTGTTTTAATTCAATGAAGGTTTCCACATCATGAAAATAGTGGTTTTTGGCTCATTCGCAGGTGAGAAAGACTACAAGCAAACTCTTTTGAGAAACCGCAGTTTTTTTTTTGTTGGCAGTCAATTGGAAACTTAACCATCTACCAGAATCTCTAACTATCAAAGCTGCATTTATCCAATTCAAAGAATGCAATTGAACTTAGAACTTAACAACATTTAAATAGAATGATAAATCCATTCTTTATTAAGTGTTCATGGAAAACAATTCTGATGCTTCACATCACTATTGAAAGGCAGATCCTTAAAATGAGATTTTTGGAATGAAATGTGCTTCATTTCTCTGTATAGATTGTGCCTAATGACTTACTTTCTGTTCCTCTAAACCCTCAGAATATAAAACCTTGCAAATCTAAAACATCTTGTCCAAAGAAAAAAACATCCTCTTCCCCGCATACGAAGGGCACAACCAGATGATCCAAAACTAAAACATTATACTGTATCACTCATTCAATGTATTCTGCCAGAAACAATGACCAGTGGGTACAAGAAACACTGACTCATTTCTCTCACACGTGTAGAAAATACCATAAACATTGTCTACACTAGTCCAAACTCTTAATTTTGTAGATGACACCATTTGCATGTTCAGGACAGGTCAGGTGTAGAATTGCTTCAGTACCAGCACTTTCTTTCATTCTTCCCTGCCTTACAACCACACAGCCTCTGATCTCCTAAAGACAAAACAAAGGTCTTCAGGTCTTATGGCAGGTGAAAGTAGATACCATCAAAAAGGTAATAAAACCCTGCAGGACCATGTGCCTTATTCCTTAAAAAGGTCTGAATAGCATTCTACAACGTACTTTTTCTTGTACAAGTAATAAGAGTGCAACCCGTGCATTCAGCATTGCCCAAAATGCAATCCAATTATCTAAAACTGGCTGCCTAAAAGAATAGAAAAATAGATTGTTTCAAAAATCTCACTGGCCTTGCTCAGACGTCTTGCACTCTAATGATAATTTCAGGTCTCCAATACCTCCTGAAAATTGTACTAAGTATCATCACAAAAGTTAATTTCAAACATCAAGTTCAGCAACACTAAATCGTTGTTTTTAGTTACAGAGCACTAAGTTAGATGTGGAAATAGTAACCTGAATCAGAAAATGTCAGTTCACAGGAAGAAATTTCACATTCGCTTTGCTACAAGGCAGCAAATTCGTTATACCCTGAAAAATTAACATGGTTACACGGTACTTTTAATTTTCGATGCAGCAATTCAATATTTTTAATGTTACCAGTGTACAATCCATAGTCCTCATGTATGGAGCTTCATTTCTATTTCAGTAACTACAATGTGAGATTGCAGCAATAGTTCAGATAACTTTTTTTTATTTCACTTTCCCCTTTAGAAGAAGTTTTAAGCTGCTTTAAACTGGTTGCTTGAAATTTAACAAAATAATTTAATTAAATTCAGCTTTCGTTTGCCAACACATCGCAGAAGACTTACTCTAGTTTTATCACTAGACGATTACCATAAAACCTGAAAGATAGTTACGGTTGATATTCTCTTAAAATCTGCTACTAACCACTGCAAAACAAGCAAAAATATTTCAACTCATTCATAAAGCTTGACAAACTACAGTGGAACCAGAAATGAGAATTTCAATGTCATTACAGCCTTGCACATTATTGGGCTATAATAAGGCCATTTAAGGTTAGATAAATTGTTATCACAGTTATTTTAGGCTTACAGAGAGAAACTTTCCTGCAGTATTGTTCCACAAACAGCAAATAGCTAACTACTTAATCTGTTTCAGCTGCGTTGAATAGAGAGTATAGGTTTTCTCGGACAACAAGAAACTCCTCAAATTTTACTCATTCTGCATCTTGGGCTTTATATGCTTCTGAACATATTAAGTGTTCAGCCAAGACATCATTCATACACAAACAGAACACCATTGCTATTTCAAGTCAGAAAGAACTTTCAATTTTGAAAGAGGGCTGTTCATAACTCCTAGAATATGCCGGAGAAAATCCAAGCCTTTTACGCATTGCTTTACGAAAAAATTATTAAAACTAAGCAGATTGATCCCTGTCATCTGTAAAATTGGCATACCAGAAAGAATAAATTATCATCTGTTCCTAAACAAAGCTGTGCAATAATCTGTTAAATTAAACATGTTTTCTGGGGGAAAATGAATGAAAAATGAATTTTTCATTACTAACATATGATCAGAATAGTAAATCCTGTCCAGCTCACTTCTGTGCACAGGAAATATAACAACTTACTTCATAATATACTTGGCCCTGTCAATAGTCTGAGCTTTGACTTTGACCAGTAGAGGATGGCTACTATAGGTGTCATTTTTCCACTGTCCATATAAACGATACCTTAAAGCAACAAATTTAAGCGTTAAGCAGCTATAGTCACCACATATGAATAATTAACACATTTAAATACCCCTGCATGATATTCACCTATATTGGTACGGGAATGTTTTCAACATTCCCCAAAGCTCTTCTGACATACATGCATTGGAGTCCATTAAAGTAAGAGATGGCAGCAACACTTGATCTGCAATACTGAGGAAACAACTCACAAGTGAATCCTGCAGAGTTAAAGAACAATTATCTGGTTAGTGTTTCAGAATATTTCATTTAAAGTCAAATCCACATACAATCTGCTTATTAACGTCAAGTGTCCATATTCAATAATGGATCAGGTGAACTTAACAATTCAGCAACGTTTAACCACTTCTCTGATACAAGACATTTCCTTAAAATAAAAGTTTATTCTCTCCATGAGGGAGATGTAAACTGACAATTCACAATTATTGTAAAGGTCACCACAAACAAAATATCCAAGAATTTGATAAGTACTGATATGCATAAATTCAATATTCAACATGATAAAAATAGCATTTGCCTTTTAAGACCTACTTCATTTCGAGGTCAGTTTATTCTAAGTAGGTAATCAAGAGAGATAAATCTTAGGATGAAAATTCAACTCAACCTCAGTCTTCAACATTCCATTATTTAACTCAAGGCATAAACTGTTCTATGTTCAGTTTCCAAGATTCTGTGCCAGTGTACAATTAAACTGTCAAAATTTTCAAGTAGAGACCAGCGAGTCAAAGTGATTAAAGTTAAACTGAGTGACTTGAACCAAGAAACTACACTGAAGATTTGCGAACATTACATCCAGTAAGGTCCTGGAATGTCAAATGAGAATTCTCGCAAAATTTGAATTAAAACATGAGGTGGCAGCCATACAACCTCATAGCTGACAGGCAAGAAAATGAATGGAGAATTACAGTATTAGCGCTTTGGATTAGAAGTGCTCTGAGTGACTTTTCAAGAGATGACAAATTTAAAACAAAATGGTGACCTAGTCAGCATAGACAGTAAATGAGGCATGAACAGAATTAGAAGTATCGTTGGGAAATGCTCCGAATCTTTCTATCTTCTCCTGTTGCAGTTACAATCTGGGCAAAAGGACCTTTTCCTCTTAAGGGGTCTGGTTTTCAGACCGAACAATTGCAAGTAGTTTAATAAAACAACTGATCCAATATTGCATCTTTCCAATTCTGGCTAATACAGAGTTTGGAATATCACAGGCGTTGTTCAATTGGATTTGATATTCTGTCAATGAGACTATCTAATGACTTTGACACAATCGGAATTCTGAGTCATCGGACTTTAATATATCACAACATCTCAGTATATATTTATAAAATGCTACTTTAAAAGGGACATCAGATTATTGATTAATTTATTTAAAACAGATTCAAGGCAACAGTAAGAAAAGCAGACCAGGGAATTCCATCCAAAAACATTAGTAACTTATTTTAAACTTAAATATCATAATAAACTAGTTACAAAAATCCCCATGTCACCTGTTTCACCCAATCTCAAACTTATTTTTTGATCATGCAATTTTTTTTTCTTTCAGCCAATCTGGGCCAAGAAACCCAACAGGAAAAGGAGGGAGCAGCAATATACTGGAAAAGCCTGGCTTTTTGGAAGAGACATCATGGCATCATCTCATAGCAATGTATTCAATACAGAGAATGGAAACTTTCTTAGTGTCCAAAGCAAAATCATTTAAAAAAAAACCTATTGCCAATTGTGGAATCTTGCTGCCATCATTAACTACATTGCAACAGTGACTTCAAAAGTACTTTTGGAACTTAAAATCAGATGCCAAGAAAGATACTAGATGAATGCTTTTTTTTTTACATTCAAATTTTCTAACCCAGCTGTCC